AATTGAACAACCATTGTTTTTCAATTAAATATTACAATATCTTTGTTTTTAGAAACAAAACTAACTAAAATGTAAATATCTTGATTTTATTTCTAGCTCCCCTCCACTTACTGAAAAAGAAGTTGAGGTAAGTATGTTTTAAACTCATTATTTTAGATATCCCACCAATTTAAGTAGTTATTGTAAGTCTAAGGCTATTATAATTATGTAATGGGATTTTTTTTTCAAAAAAAATATATTTGGGCAATTGTCCTAGGCAATATAAATTGTAAAAACACTTAGAGTAGGAATAAACAAAAGACATGTTTGTGCAATCTTTGTAATAGAATATATATACATTTTGAAAGTTATTATAATATACTTAAAGTAGTAGAAAAATTAGGTTTAAATGCAACCAGAAAATATATGAGTTAAATTACACTTTCCTGTTGGCCAGCAGGAGCTTTGGGGCAGTTTTTGATGATACCTTGCAGGTAGTTTACATAATGTCTGCTTTTTCAGTTCAAGCCAATAATTAGTTTTGGTAGGTTGCTCTTTAGCTTGCAGGCTTTTTTTCTTCTATTTTTTCATACACTAGTCAAGAAAAGGATCTTTACATACATAACTCAAATCTAATGGAACTGTTGATGCCTAATGCTTTGCAAAGTGTTAAACCTGAGAAATAATGCATCTGATGAAGAAAGAAATGGTGTTTAAAAGTAGGGTTCAAGGGAATAAAAATGTTAGCACTTCATCTTTTGCTGGCTTCAGTGGTAGGTGTTTATCCCTTAGGTAAAACAATGCTGATGGTGAGCTCACCCCTGGACTTCCTCTGCACAGACTATCTGTTTAAAAACCTCGGGGACCCTAGGAAGTCCAGCTAGAAAACAGATCCATTGTGATTCTGATCCTTGTGGTAGGCTGCTTCCTTCATTGTGTCTCTGCTCTGCTGATCTCCCAGAAAAATATTCAGGAAAAGAGGCAGCAACACATTCATATTTTAGAGGAAATAAAAGAAGTAATTTTTGAAACAATATCATTTAAAAAACATTTTCCTTTTCTGTATCAGTACTTATTTAAGTTTGTTAAGCACATATAACTTACATTCATAAGTTTTTGGAAATGACGTTACTGTGACACTTATTTAAAAATGCCTTTTTTAATCCAAACAGAATGTATTTGTACAACTTTCGTTGGCCTTTAGAAATGATAGTTATACCTTGGAATCTAGAATTAACCAAGCAGAGAGAGAGAGAAATCTTACTGAAGAGAATGCTGAGAAGGAACTGGAAAACTTTAAAGCAGCCATTACGGTAAGAAAACAATAATTCCTTTTCTGAACTACAGTGTACATGAAAACACACACACGTTTGAAATACATGTGACAGTGCTTGCTTATGTGTATCATAAATTCAGACCCAAGAATTCATTTTCTGCTGCCTACCACTCTGCACAGGAGAGAGCTGTCTTCATTCCTGTAGGGCAGGCACATGTTATGTGGCTCAATGACAGTTGTCTTGGTTTGCACTAAACAGAATCCATTTTGTTCAGTGATTTTACTTTTCAGCTCAGTGAAAATGTGTTCACAACGGCTAAATTTAAATACACTTTTGCTTGTGGTAACTAATTCCAAGGTGCTTTGATGCTTTACAGTGTTTATCTGAGCTATCATAGTGATAATATTAAGCCAGTGCATAAATCCGTGTATTGATTGACAAAAAATGGTTAGGAAATTGCAATTGCCATGTGATTTACAGGCCATATTATTTTTATTGCTTTTTTCCATTTGGATCTTGAGACTATGATGTCTTACTTTCCAAATAAATGAAGTATCATGGAACTGAAATAATATAAATGTCCTTCTTAACACCTTGTGCCCAGCAATTTAAAATGTTCTTTGTGTACTAGTACTAGTTCAAATAAACATACCATCTGTAAAGTTCACAGGTAGCTAGGCATGACTCATCATTAATTTCAAGAGGAAAAGCATTGCAAATGCGCAGAGCCTTCTTTAACTCCTTGCAAGGTCTGCCTGCAGCGTGCAGTGAAGCACCATTCTGAAACAGAGCAGCAGCACTCTCTAGGTTACCTGTGGTGGTAGTGATGGCACTCCCCTGGGGCTAATTTGTCCACATGTAGTTCTGCCCAGACATCCCTACCTCACTTGTGTGGCTCAGGCTACTTCATCTGAACTAAAAGTGGCAAGACATGACGATAAAGCTTATGTATTTTCATTTCAGTCTTCAGCTCACTTATGGCATCACTATGAACATCGAGAAGTTTACCAGAAGCTGTTAGAGGACATTGCTGTTCTGCGGCGTTTAGCTGCTAGACTATCTAGTCGTGCTGAGATGGTTGGAGCTGTTCGCCAGGTAAGACCATCCAGGCTTCTAACATGTATCCTGGCTGCACATGTTCACACTCTCTTTTTCAGCCATAGCTGGAGATTATATTAGCTCTTTCAATTTTATTTGCCATTTCGACAGGTTAAAGACATTGTAGTGTCAGAGAAAACACCATTTCAGTCTGGAAATAGAATCTAAACAGAAGCAAGATCACCCATGAAGCTATGCAACATCTGTGCATGTATTGTTCAGGACTATAGCTGCATCACAAGAAGCTTATTTAAAATCAATGCAGCACAAATAAGAAAACTTTTCTGTGTCAGAAAAGCTCATTTAGTTCAGTCACCTGCCTTTGGCAATAGCTTAGTCAGACAACTCTAAAGAGTATAAGATCAGGGTAAGTATAGCTGAGCACATAGCAATACCCTCCTAGTTTCGAGACTGCTGCTTCTGCCCACTAAAGGAACCGGACTGATGCCAGTGACTAAGACTGTCAAGGGTTTGAAAACATACACCATACACCATATAACTAATAAGCACACAGGCAGACTGTAGAAATAGATGACAAAATAATTTATGAGGGCATGTGCATTTGTATTCTAATTAGCTTAGGAATTTTCAGTAACAGGTACCAATATTTCTTTAAAACAGCTAATCCAGATTTAGCCATCACAAGGAGTGTGCACATAGATGTAAATGATTTGTTTGAGAAGTGTAGAGGTTACCTGAGTATTCCCCTCTTTTCTTCCTTAGGAGAAGCGCATGTCAAAGGCAACAGAAGTAATGATGCAGTATGTGGAAAATCTGAAAAGAACGTATGAAAAGGATCATGCTGAACTAATGGAGTTCAAGAAACTTGCCAATCAGAATTCTAGCAGAAGCTATGGTGCATCTGGTAATAAAAATTAAAAATAATTTAAGGGTTCATCCTGACTCTGTGTAGAGAGGTATTGGTGCTGTTAATGATAAAAAGTGAACTGTGAAGTATAAAACCTGTTCATGAAGTTCTGATCTACAGGAATAGATTTTTAAAAGTTATAAATATAACAGAAAATATTTCATATAAGCCATACTTAATGCTATGGCATAGTAATCTAAAATCACTATCACCAAATTCTGATGAGATACAATTACATTTTCTTTGGCCTCTTGCACATATGCATAGCTTCGACAGTCTTAATGCAACTGATTCTTAGCTGACAGATAATGGCAAAATTTCATTATTAAAATAATTTTTTTTGGTTTTGCAACCAATTGTTTCCTAACTTACTGGAAACTCAAATATGAAGATTTTCTTTTGCAATATCTTGTATACGGAGCCAAATAGTGAGCTTTTGCCTGATCTCTTTTTGCCTGATGGTTCAATTTTTTGCAATTATTTCAAATATCTTCTGCAGATGTAACTGAGACCAGAAGTCCATAACAGACAACTATGTAGTCCCTACAGACCTTGTACAAGTATACTGTATCTGAGTTTTAACAGATCTCTTGCTTGTATTTCGTATTATTATAGATACTCATATAATCTAAGACTGTTCTTTATCTACTCTTGTTATGCAGAGGATGGAGTACCTCGTTCCTCTAGATCCATGTCTCTTACTGTTGGAAAGGTATTTCAACAACATAAAGAACATTAAGTGAACATTTTATGCAGTGAAATTTCTTTGTCCATATGCATTCGCTTCTATAGGCTATGTTCAAAAAATAGTGCTGGTAAATTCTTAATATTTTTCATATAACTAGTGCAACTGCTTTGTAACTTTGGATTCATGACAAAGTATGACTTTGTGCAATACCGATAAAGCTTGCTGTGAAGCCATTAATAATAAAGGGACCTATTTATTTAAGAATAATTGTATTCCAGGCCACATACCTGTGCTCCAGAGAGTGGCTTAGGTCCTGTGCTTTATTCTAGTTCCACTGCAAGGAAACTGGATCAATACTTACTATGATTCAGAATACTATGATACTGCCATTATCATTATCTTAAGAATTATATCATGTTCAGGGTATCTTTAGATCAAATCGGTTCTGGGTTCTTTTTTTAAGTGGGGCTTACTTTTCAGTTAATAGCAAACTATCTTGTTTGGTTTGATGAAGTATTCTGAGTGAAAGATTATTTCAGGGGTTTTTTTCATATATTTCTCACAGAATATGCCTCGGAGGAGAGTCAGTGTTGCTGTTGTTCCTAAATTTAACTCCTTAAACATTCCTGGTCAGTCACCAACAGCTTCACCTATACCTTCAATGCCATCCCTGGTAAGTAAACCTCACATTTTAAAGATGCTACTTTTTGTCTAAATGTTAAAGATATTACATTTTTGCATAGGGCCAAACCATAGTTATTAAAAAAATGTAAGTCGATTCATTAGTTTAACTTGTTTTGTCTCCATCCCAGTGAAAGGGATGGACAAAAGCAATTGCTGTGGTGTAAGGGACATACACCTTCAGAATCTACAGCCATAAATGATCACTTTGGACACAGAGCTGAATAGCGCTAGCTGGTGATAGTTGTCCACTGTAGGAAAGAGATTTTAACTAGAAGCCAGAGAAGGTGATTGAACTGCTTCTCATCATTGCCAAAAAGTCCACTATACAGAAAAACATGTAATTAATGTACAGAAATGTATGTGGTACAGCTTCAGATGTTCTGCAATGATCTGGGATTAGTGGAACTATCCGCTCCTGCCTTGACTTTTTGTTTGTAATATTTTAATAAATTAAATGACAATCTAATCTCAACCTAAGAAATCTAAATAAATGCTTTGAAGGAAAACTGCACAGCATACCAGCTGTTCAGAGATGAGCTATGGGTAGAAGGAATGTTGCGTAAAATTCTTAGTGTGCAAGTCCATCGCTTGCTGTGGTCAGTTCATGGCTGTGGAAAGAAAACTTAAGCAGCACATTGACTCTGTAATTTTACTGAAGACTTATTTGAAATTAATTCATGGATGTAACATTTAGTGCTGTTTTTCATTTACAGTCTGAATCACCTAGCAATGGAAAGAGCAACCTAACATCTACTCCTGTTCTACCAGCACTTCTAGAAAAGTGAGTTTTCTCTAGGGCATCTCATTATCCATTAAATCCTAGTATGAAAGGAAAAACATCACATTGATTTTTGTTGTTATTAACCGCTACTGCTACTGCTTTGATCATTTAAACTGTTTACAATATCACAATAAAGTATGTGCAATGCTAATTTAAAGTTTGTTAGGATGCTTTAAACATACAAATTCAAAGTTTAAAAATATGTAGATCTCACATCAGTATAGATTATTAAATTTCATGTATATTAGGTTAGTGCTGAGGCAGGACGAAATTTATCTTATGTCATTGTTTTATCTCTGTGCTTCACAAAGAATGAAAATACGCAACAATTGGGAAAATAAAAATGGTGAACTCTGGCACTAGTTGTTACAATTCAACAGAACTCTGTGAGATTTAGACCATCTTTTGAAACTGTACTGAAAACTTGGAGAGGAAAAAAATAAAAAGTCAAAAAAAAAACCCACCACACCCTTATCAATATTTCCTATTGGATCTTAAGAAAATAAATCATGTTATCAGGTAGCAGAAGTAGAACCTGAAATTCAACTTTGAGCATAAATATTTGTGCATGGGCAAGCTGCTGTAGTAGTGTTAAATTACATAGTTTAGCAGTTTTGTATTTCTAAGCACTTCAAGCTTATGCTCACGATTTGTTGAAAGTCCAAGTGAAAAGAGTGTCTACTGTTAATGTGATTTCTTGAGAGAAAATCCATTCCCCACAGATGGTGTCAATCACGATGAATTGTTCTGCCATTGAATTTAGTGCCAGAAAAATAAAGCTTACAAAAAAGGTTAAATTCTACAGGTTGAAATAGGATCTACTGTTGAGCTTATTAAAGCTTGACTTTGATAGATTGGCTAAGTCATGCCTGTCTCATGCCTGAACTCTTTGTCTCAAACTTAAATAAATAAGGTCGGGTAAGCACTGAAGAGAGAGAGCAATAGACAACGGCTTATCTTTAGGCTAAATGCTCAAAGCTTTTTCTTAAGAGAAGTTTTAGTGACTAAAGCTACGTGTGTCTATTTTTTTAACCTGTGCATCAGTTCAGCATATAAAGTCAGGAGAGGGAAACACCTAAAAGGCAAATAAGAAAAAAGCTTTGTTAAATTAGTGTTTGGTATTATTTCTATTACTTCTGCTATTTCTATTATTTTCCTCTGATGTAGCAGGCTACAATTTTTAAGATGATTTTTAGAAAGCTGGGCAAAATGTTTTCAAGAATAACATAAATGCCATGGCTAAGCCAGGAAAAAATGCTCTTCTCTTCTTTCTTTAAAAAAGACAAAAAAAATGCAAGTTGTAATACCTTAGGAACATATTAATTAATGTTCTTAAATTACAGTATTTTGAAACTAAAATTTTGCTTAGTGTTAATTTATTTTCATTTTGAAAGATATTTTGTTTCTCTGACACACATTAAAGAAGAAATATCAGGAGTCACAAAATTGCATGTGATTGTTTTTGCTCAGTAGTATACTCGGAATGCAACATATTTCAGTGGTGTTATTTTCATTTGTCCTTTTCTTTTGTATTTTGTATTCCTTTGTGTTGGCAGTGGAAAAACTAATGGGGAGCCTGACTGTGAAACCTCTGCTTCTGTGCTGACACAGAGTGGGTTGGAAGAGATCAACCCTGAAACTAAAGCCAAGATAGAAGAGGAAGCGTATAACAAAGGGTGGGAATTATATATGTAAATATGTGTTACCAGATGAGGGCATAAACTTTTCTAATGTAGCTTTAAATGTAAAATGAGTTACATAACAGATATGAGCTCCTAGAGTATGGTCATAGTTGAAGCAATGTGGGAAACAACACAAGTGAGCTTCACTTACAGTATTTGCATCGTAGCTATTCATTTTCATACTTTATTAATGTTAGCTAAACTGTGGCAGAGAAATTATGGATCAGAGATTCCGCAGTGGGTGGGTATTCTTATGTCAATAGTGTTCAGCTTCACAATAAGGTAATCCAAAACAACTTTCTAGAAGCGTACAGGGAAATAAGTAAAGAGTAAGTATCGACTCTTGCAGGAAACTCATGTTGTTTGTGTCACAAAGTGCTTTACACAGCATGTTTTGGGGCTGTTATCAGCAAAGACAAACTTTTGATTCTCTCCTGCAGAATCCAGGAAGCCATCTATCTTTAGCATTGATTTGCACTTGTTCTCTAGGGAAAAAAGTAGCTAGAGGGTGTTCAAAATGACTGGAAAATAATAAATACTTACCAACTCCTTTGCAATATACAACAGCAGTGCTCTGCTAAGGACTATAACCTCTTTTTCAGGCTGCTAAGTTTGGTAACAGAGCTAATATCCTCTGTTAAGGAAGGATGTCTGCCGTACTCATGGTCTTTAGCTTATTTTTACTCTTGTCCAAGTTCTTCAATGCTACTATTTGTGTTTTATTGAATTGTAACGAAACATAAAGCTAATTTTTCATTATATAAGAATAGGTTTATACAGTGTGCTAGAATAAGATTTTTTTTTGTGTATATGTGTTAAAGCTATCAGGAAGGCTTGAAGAAAACCAAAGAACTTCAGGAACTGAAGGAAGAGGATGAAGAGACCCCAAAAGAAAGTCGTGACGAACATGAAGAAAGTGAAAATGAAGATGAGATAAAAACCCTGAGAAGGAGGTGAGGCAGTGTTGTAATACGTAAGTAAGAGAGGAGCCACTTTTTTCTATTTGTGGTACGCAACCAAGTGTTTTATACTATTGCCTTGACATGTTTTCTTCCAGTCTAGGGAAGCGTATTTGAATTAAGAGTGTTTTCACAGAAAGGCCTATTCTGAGCTAAGGTAGCTACAAAATGCAAGAACTTTTGTGTTTGATATTTCAATTAAAATTGTACATTGACATCAAGATGCTTCATCTTGATGGGGTTTGGTTTGGATTTGAAGTAAAAAATACTCCACAAAAGCTTTTTAGATGCCAGAATGTATCTCACCAAATATCTATGAAACCTTTCAAATTGAAAAGCTTAAGATTTTTTGCATGTGATGAATATATAACAATTTTCTCTTCATTTTACAGCAGACTTGAAGTCATCATTAATTACTTACATATACTGTACCCCAAACTGTGCAAACACTGGAATGTGGTATGGCTTGTAGTGGCTGCAATAATCATTTTTGCTGTGGTGTTGGGAATCTACCATTCATACAACTCCTGTGATGAAAAATCAGAGGGACCTGAAGGGAAGGCCAGCTGTTCTGCTGCCCGTCAGTATTCCTGGTGGAACTCAGGATTTCGACATGAGCAAAGCACTGAATAATAAAGGATGAATAATAAAGGAGCAACCATTTATTTAGGGTACCTGAGCAAGTATGCATATTAGAACACTGTTGTTAAAGGTAACGCTTGGTCATCCTTACAGCTGTTAAATGTGATCTGTTTGACAAGTGAGTTTCTCCACGCCATCAGGTTTGGGGATCCATTGTGAACACCCCTTGCCAAAATGACAATCTGATAAATAACCCTGTCTGTCCTTTTAGTGTAAATGACTGATACAAAGGAAGTAGTATTATGATATCATAAAGTCATGGTAAGGTGGTGGTAGGAATCAGCAACCAGCAAGACATTTAAAAGAATGATTTGCACAGGACATTGACATCTCTGCTATGGTTTTGCAGAAGATCATAAAAGCTGCATTTGCAGTTAGTGCTTTACTTTGCATTTCCTGAATTTATTGGTGATTGTTGAAGTACTAATGGCATTTAAATCCTTTGGGTTTTAAGAGTCTAATTCACTTCCTTATTCATGATTATTGGGTAGAAATAGAAGCTCTTCTGTGGAAGGTTGGAATATTATCAGACCAAATGCCTTGCTGGTAAAGTAATTTTATAAGAGGAATTATCTGTATGGTTATTTAAATGGAATATTAAGTACATGCATAAATGTGTTTTATGATATATTTTAATAATGGGACCACCACTTTTTTTTCTTTTTTTTTTTTTTAAATGGGATACACAAGAAAACCTAAAATGAGGTCTAGGTTGCACATAAGGTTTCTATCATAAAATAAGTCTGGGAACTTCTGATATATCAAAGGGACATGCTTTGCAACAAATTTGTGTATGCCAGAGTCAGTACTGGTTACAGAAAAAGTAGTTGCTATCTGGAAGATTACATGTGTTGCCCAAGCCCAAAACATAGCTGTCTTGGATGTGGGAAACAATCTTTAATTCTTTATTTGGGGGGGGGAAAAAAAAGTCTTCAAACCTCTGTGACCAGACTGAGCCCTACTGCTAATAGGGGAAATAGATATCCTTTGAGATCTGCACTGGGAACACAGTTCTGCGTGCAGCCAAAACCTTACCAAAGCCTAGAAGAATCGGGCATGAAAGCAGCGAGGACTTCAAAGAGGTGCACGGATTTAGCAGCTCATTTGCGAAATCTGATGTCAGGCATATAAACTGTTCTGATATGTTTGCAAAGCTAAACTATCAGGTCATGATAGATTAATCTTTTGCCCAGATTTTTCAACAGGTCTGCCTATCTGAGATTTGTGAGCAACACAAGAATACAAAAGCCTGAGATTTTCATACAAGCAATTTCAAAATGCTGAAGCATTTATCTGTAATAAAAGCCTCACCACCTAGAGCTGAAACCAAAATGCATGTCACTTAAGATATACCATGTGTACCTGCTTAACATCACTTCTGGCTGAAGTTGAACTAGCTATATGGTTGAATCTAAAAGCAATATCAAAATCAGTATGACACCTGATTGCACTCATGTCTTGCATTTTTCTGGCATTTTCTGACTGGATAACAGGTATGTTGACCGACTGAAGAATAAGTATGTCATGCATTACTGTAATTTCAGTTCAGATGCAGTTAGTATTGTTTTCATTTGATGCAAACGCTGAACCTCAAGCTCACTGTCAAAGAAAAGTTTCTAACTCAGTCAGAAACTTAATTCATGTCTGGCACTAGTAACAAATCCTGCTGGTGATTTTTGTTTGTTACATCTTTAACCACATGGTTTTTAAGAGGCATTTATATGGAGAAAGAAAAATAAAATAAAATTAAAAAAATGAGACCGATACCACTTTTTTGGGGGGAGGGAATCTATAAGCAGTTGGGAAGTTTGTTTTTTATTTTAAAGTGTATATTGTTGACGATTAGTATGCTTAAGAAAGTTCAAAAAGGATAATGGGAAAGTGTCATTTGTTTTAAAATTGTTACGAGTAAAGAATAAGACAGAAAAAGGTTTCTTGCAAATTATCTGGTATTTGGTTCAGTTGGAATATCTGACTATGAATAACTACTGTGACATTTCATGTACTTTCAATATTTTACGAAGCTCGCCAGTTGCTCTTTCAATGTTTATTTAAATCAGCCTCTTTAACTTAATACTCTGCAAATAGCATCGATAACTAATAAAGGCAATCAAAAATGAAGGTAAATAGACCAGAAGATTCAGAATCCTCTATGCCAAAAAAATTATAGCACGTATTTGATTGTGATTGGAGAAATGTTGGGCTGCACTGAGGAAAAATAGGTAACAGTGCCTATAATCTAATTACTTTACTCTTGCTTCCACCTGCACTGATGTAAGTCAAACACCTTCTTTTAAGTACATGTAGAAAGTTATTGAAATCAACAGGACTCTTGAGCTGTTGATGTTGAATTACTGGTATCAGTAGGACTTAAGCATGTGCTAACTTTTTTTGGTCAGTGAGTGAGTGAGGTCTCCGTACTCTCTTGAATTCAGCGCACTGGCATTTTGTGGACGTAGTTAGTACACAGAGGTGAATTTCCCTAAGTAGCTGTACTCATTTAAACTCTACTACTTGCATGTCTAAGGCAAGTATAAGTTAGCCACAAAGTTCTTAAGTGTTGTGGGGGATGGACTGAAACGAGGCAAGAGATTTTAATGAGGATAAAAAGGTGACGACTATTTTTTTAAAAAAATGTTGTTCTTTTTATAACTACTTTGAGCAAACTGTCCACTAAAAATAATGAACCACAATGACTAACAGCACATTAAATATTTTTGCTTCTATTTTTCAGTTAGTTAATGGAGACACATTTTTTATTAGGAAACTAGATTGAGCTAAAAAACTATTCTAAATGTAATTTTATCTATTGGGTATTAGTTTGCTTTATCTGGAAAAAACCCCAAACAACTGTGTTCAAAGATGACATGAGATAACAAGAAACAGATCTATTATTTATGTTATTAACACTGAAATAGTTTTCTTGAGGTGCAATATTTATTTTTCTGCTTTAACAAGACACATTTATTGTTTTTCCTGCACAGCACAGTTGTTTCTAGTAAAATGAATTTTAAAAGGGCACTATTTTTGTGTATCATATTTAAATTTGTAATATTGTAAGATTTTGCACAAGTGTGCCGGTATTGTACTGTATAGTATCACATACTTGAGTTTTGAAATAAAACTATAGTTTCAAAGTCTTCAATGTATCTACCTTAAGGGCTTGTTTTTTACACGTGCTCTTTGTGCATAGTAATGGCTGTGTTCTTATGAACACAGTTCTTCACCACGAGGGTGGACACGCTGGCACAGGTTGCCCAGAGAGGTGGTGGAAGCCCCATCCCTGGAAGTTTTTAAGGCCAGGCTGGATGGGGCTCTGAGCAGCCTGATCTAGTGGGAGATGTCCCTGCCCCTGGTGGGGGTTTGGAATTAGATGATCTTTAAGGTCCCTTCCAACCCTGACAATTCTATGATTCTATGAAATACATTCTGCCTTGTCTGTGCTGCATAATGCCGTGCCATGGTACACATACAAAAGATCTTGTTCTTAGTATTTCAGTTCTTTGGGAAAATGATGCAGAAACAGCAAGCAAGCAAGCTCCTCTTTCAGTAGAGCAGGTTTTTGTGAACAGGGTCATCCCTGTCCTACTCTAGAAACAAGATGAGAGGACACATATCCTGGAGAGAGTTTAACTCCTGCTGCAGAAGGAGGCTGCCGGTCACTGAGGAGGTTCAACACAGAAAGCCACAAGGGAAATCTATAACCAAAGAAGACTGAGTGAAAGGTTAGGAATTCTTTATTTTCCTCATGTTCATATAGGTCTAGGAAGCCTGGGCTTTGTGGAGAGCTGAACTGCCAGACCAGTGGGAAGGAGACAACACTCTATTGCCACAGAGAACAAAAATATCACTTCTGAATCCTGGACAGTCGGTGTCAGGAAGAAAAACTTTAGGACAGTGACAACCTTGAAAGAAATTACTGTTACCAGGAAAAAATAAATAAATCATATTTTCAACATAAGCTTTTGTTTTTTTAAACTTGTTTCCTCTCCTGTTGTTCAGGCTTCAAGGTTCCTATAGAAATTATTTTAGAGAACGATTAAGTCTGTTCACCCATATCAGAATTTTTCTTTTTAGCAATCTTCAGGAGCATTTTAAAACATGCTGGCATGAGATGCTTGGAATTTTCCTTAAAGTATTTATGTCAAATACTAATTAAACACTTGGTATAAGGCTGCTTTTCTTTTTTGCTTTTTTTTTACCACGCAAGTTATGATGAAGACCTACAAACGGGTTAAACACCTTTCGTACTGTTACAGTTCAGGTAAGTGAAAATGATCTGCCACACAGTTTTGGAACAGCTGAAATACAAAATGGAAGAAACTGAGAGAAAAAAAAAAAGGAAAAAATATAGTTATTTCAGTCTCACTTCATCATTTTTTTCCCTCTCCTAATCTGTAGTTTGCCCTTACGAAGCCACTTGAAGGAGTTTGTATTTTTGTTTGGTGTTACAAGGGTGTTTATCTCTTTTCCAGCTAAAAATGCTACTAAACATCAATAGCATGACAATTTGACTAAAGGAACTTTGCCACAGTGAGGATTATATGCACAGTGTTAAAACTGGGAAAGACAATTAGTATGTAATTTTGAAGTGTCAGAAACCCAGTTTATTATTAGTTTTCACAGTAGGAAATACTTAGCAGTTCAAGTTAAACATGGAGATGGCAAGATTTTGCTTGATGTTCTCAGTGTTTTACAGCCACAGTCTACTAGTCCATGAGAGCCGCAGAGTAACTGTTTCGGCTCCTGCATTGTACATGCAAGTGAATCCACTTAGAACTTGCTTCAGTTAGATACAGTATTCCAGATTATCATCACTTTGTAGAGGCAGGTAAGTACAATACAATAAAGGAGTGAATAGAAGTTGGAGCAAGAAATTTGTCTTTACATCTCAAGGAGCTTTGCCAACATGCAGTTCCACACCTCACCCCAAACACAACTCAATTTTAATTTCTTTATTGTGAATGGAAATATCATTTCATTAACCCACAGCATTCTGCCCTTGGCCCTGTGGGTGCCTGTCTGTTATAGGATACCCATAGCCAGGTTATATGCTGCTGTAAGAGACTGGGCCTGTGCCCAGATAAAAGTTAATACCCACTTAATATATTTTTGTGGTTACAGGACCTTGAAAACAGCCTGGGGATGTAGGACATCTAAAAGTTGGATGAATCACAAACTGTACCTAATGTAACAAAATCATCCTGTTGCAAAAAAAAAAGACTCATGCCATTCTGAACTGTATAAGCAGGTAAACTAATTTATTCCGCACTTGAGATTGGAAGGCCTCAGCTAGAGAGAAACAGTGAGTAAACTGGGGGTTCTTAGCTGAAAGAAAAGCGAGAGCAGCAATGTAACTCTTGAATCCCTAAGATTGTTGCAAAACTCAGGAGAATAAACTATTTTCCATGTCCATTTCTAACAGGAAAAGAAGTGATAGGTTTACACCTTCATATAGGTAAGTCTGTTGAGCCTAGGGAATACCTTTTAACAGTAACAGAAGCACTAGAATAGAATGTTTGAGGAAATAATAGGAATTTGTTCCTGGAAGTCTTTAAGGCATGTTAGACAAACATGTCAGAAATAACATAAATACAGCTGATGTTACTGACAGTAAAAAGAACTACCTGATCTCTTGAACTCTGTGTTTGTTGGAATCTCTCTGGAATCTCATCATTCTTTTGCTAAGACTTCCTGAAGGTTTTCTAGGTTATTGCCATGAGGATCATTTGTGTTTTCAATCCATCTGTTGGAATCATTGTGTGTTGGAGCTTCACAGAAAGCAGCAGTGAAGGGATTGGCTCCCACCTCTGTCCCTGTAGTCTCACAAGAGACCCCATTTACAGAAGTGTATCTCCAAATCTGGTCAAAACTAGGTATCATCTTATCTGTTTTTACATTGTTTTTATATTGGAACTCCAAGGCAAAAGAAGGTAGAAGTACTACATCAAGACAAATAGAATAGTGGGGAATAATGCCTTTCCAATTAAAAAAGTAGAATCCTGCCTCACATGATGTGATACAATAGAAGATTCATTTTATTTACCAGATGGATAGATAACGAGTGATGATCTGTTAAACAGTAAACCAGGAAAAAATAGCAAAAGAAAAGCTTTTTTCAAAGTATTTACTGACTTAGCAGTCTAACAATCTTATCTCCCTTCCTCAGCTGTGTTTTCTGAGTCAGCAGTAGTTAAATTTTCCAGCAACCTCTACATGAAAGAAAGTGTAAAGTGTGATTAGGGATTTCCAGGCAGTGACCTCACCTTCGGGTGGGACAGTCGATGCATTTGCTCTGACATTCTTTCTATGAAGCAGTGCAGTGACAGCTTTCAAGAAGTCATCTCAGAGGTGGTCTGACAGTATCCAATACATTAACTTTTTTTAGCACAGGAGATAAATTAGCTTGAATTTCTTAATTTTTCAAGTTGGTGACAATGGCAACTTATTTTGGAGTTACCTCAGCAGTGTTTTTTGTCTGGGTTATGACATGCATGGTTGTAACAGGTATGTAAAGTTCCACTTCTTTAAAGTGTCCTAGTTGATCAAGAATTTTTTTTTGTGTGTAAATGTGTTTCTGGCATAGGAAACCACAGGGTTTTGAGAATACAGTGCAATGAAAACTACTCTAGCATATACGGAAACTTTCATTGTTAGCCTAATTGCTGCAGAACTGCATGTTTTAATGATTTGGCATTGCATTTAGGATTAAGTTCAGAGCTATTGAAATGTTATTTTATTTTGTATTACTTAAAATACCATAGCAAACAGTTTTGTACAATCCTCAGAGAGCAAAACATGCATGAAACCAGTTCTGTGTGTCTGTGATAAAATGGTATCTTTAATGCAAAGTGTTTTACTCTGATTTGGCAATATCCTGAGGTTTTTATTTGCAGCATTGAAGGAAATGTGTGGCAGGGATCTCGCAGTTCATCTCCGGGGCAGTCATGCATGTCTCTGGCTAATACAGTGCAAAAGTTCCTATTCTGTATAAACTAGCTCTTTCAAAAAAATAACAGGGAATTGCCAACATCAACTTTATTGAAGTTTTTAGACAACCCTCCTCCCTCAAACAGTAAGACCTGCCTCTGTCACCACTGTGGTCCTGTTCAGGTGTTGTAGGACTGTGCCCTGGCCAGTGAGGACACATTCTGCCTGTGTTGTGGTCACCCTTGGCTCCTGGCTCCTCTTTCCTTGTGGAACAGCCTCATTCTTGCTGTTCCCTGACATCAGCAGCCAAAGAAAACTCCAACAAATCAGAGAGAAGGCTTGGCACAAGGCATAGAGAGAGAAACAACAGCTTCCCCAAAAAACCAACAAGAGAACTAATGCACAATAAAGCCAACACCCATAGCTTACAAAAATTGAACTGTTTTCTTCTTTTCCTATGACAACGTTGTCTTGTGAGATTTTTTGGTCTAGGGTCTTCTCATCTTTCTGAGTAAAACAAGAGTTTTCACACAAGACCAAAATCCTGAGGATGATGTCCCATTATTAGTAGGTTAACTAAATAGAGCAAAGCTTACAGTACAGCTATGTGCAGCTTGTAAAGGATTAGCCTGTCTCCTATATAATCTCAGTCATGTTTAGAATAGAGTTCTAAAGTTCAGAGATGATTTAAGAAGTGATGAAAAGGCTTGAAGGGTTTTGTTTTAAAATGCTTAGCAAATTCTAAAGTATGACTTTGGTCCATGTCCTACAGTCCCTTTTCTGATCACTTAATTTTCTGGCACTGAGTTTTTACGTTATTCTATGTATCTATCATGCAATTCTCATATAAAAATATTTGTCCTGTAATTGAATGACTAAAGACTGCAACAGTTTACCTAAATATCTAGGCACCTTTTAAGGCTTCAGTAAATTACATTCAGTCAGCTTCTCAGTTTTATTTGAAATAATTATGGTCTGGTCTACACCATATCAGGGTTAATGGATGGCTGCAGCCTCTACCACTGCTGAGATAAATTGACCCAATTCAATGATTGTTTTACCAAACATTTAAGTCCAATTAAACTAAATGTAAGGACAACAGAGATGCATCTTCTACCAGAAGCTGTTTCCAACCCCGCCACACCCAGTGGGAGAAGGAGTGAAAAGTCTGCCCTTCTTTTAGCACTTCACACAAGCTTAGCCATCTTTTTATCCCCTTACGACAGGAGTGGCTTAGCTCCTAGTTCATTCATAAAATTCAGTTTAATCCAAGAAGTCATGTTGTACATCTGCAGGCATCATCCTGCCTTGAGAATTTGTGGATTGCCTGTATTCTTGTGCACAGAGATTTTATGAAATATTCTGTCTGAAATGCATATTGAGTAAGGAAGTAACATCAGTGGCTCTTTGTTTTCTGAAATGTTTGCAATGAAACGTTGGAACATTTCATATAGCAATTACTGTATGTAACTCAAAAAGAAACAAATGTTTTTTCCAGTATGTTTCCACTGAAATAGGGAGGGAAAAGCATAATATTCTCTCTTCTTGTCAGTGTCGAATTCTGAATTCTGTCCTATGTCCCTAACACAGGTTAAGAAGGCATAATCAGAGCTAAGCCATGCATTTCCAGGTGCAGATGTCATGAATAGTGTATCAGTGGAGGCTATCCAAATATGCTGGATGAACTGCCTGGGGAGGAGGAAGGGGAAAAAGTGTCATAAATTCACCTGGCCTATTCCCTCTTTTCCTCCCACCTGCCAAGCACTCACTAAATTAAACACTTCACAGAGGCTGGGGGTTGGAAGCACTATGTCAAGCTAGGGGAAAAAAATGTTTGGGAGGAATAAGGAATGTAAAAGATGTTAAAATCTTTACATATGTATTTTCTTACTGGTATATTAATTTGATGAAAATAAATATGTATAATACTCCTCTTAGAACTCACATTTGTAAGAGTGGTGTACTGATAGAATTAGTGCCTCAGTGCAACTGTTAGTTTTATCATTGTAGTTTAAAAAAGAAAAAGGAAGAAAACCTGTCTCATTACTCTCCATTTTACATAAATAAGTATGACAAATAAGAGTGTCTTTAGTAGGAAACTGAATCCAGGTAGTAACTCAAATGCCAACTGTATATGCATTTATTCTAATAACGGCCAAATCTCTTGAAATTCTAGACTATTCTGTTAAGAAAATATGTTCTAGTTGTAAAGCATGTCTTTTTTGGTAGAAATTGGTTTTCTACTGTTCTCAAGCTAGAAACTTCTAATAATTCAGTTGAATGTGTTCTTAAATTCTTCATGAGGAATACAGGTTAATATTCAAATACTAACCTTGAATATTTATGTCTAAATTACAGGTTCCATTCCTCCATATTGCAGGATCACAGGTGTAGGAATTTATCTTGAGGAGAAAGTTAATTTCTCAGCAGCAAGTAATGCATGTAATAAACTGAATCTACAACTGGCGAGTAAAGACCAAGTTGAAAAGGCTTTGAAACATGGCTTTGAAACGTGCAGGTATAAGACATCAGTTAGTGTCTCATTACCTTTAGTTAACACTTTTGCACACATCTGAGGCTCATGATAAAGCTAATACTAAAAGGACTGATGCTTTTTATTGTAGCTATGGATGGGTGAAAGAGCGGCTGGCTGTCATTCCTCGAATAACACCCAACCAGAAATGTGGTCAGGGCAAACTTGGACTAGTGACATGGAAAGCTGAACTCTTTAAAAATTTTATGGTTTACTGCTTCAATTCCTCAGGTATGTAAGCATGACAATTACATTTTTTGGATTTTTGGTTTGGGTTGGGTTTTTTTTAATATCTGCATGGAAAAAATCATAACAAGTGAATTCTTATAACTTGTTGGCTCTTTCCCACCCAATCTTAAATCTTGTTAAGCTGTGCTTAGCTCTGTAGGGGAAAAAGTTTCCAAGAAATACAAAAGATCAATTCAGGTAGTCTGAATTATTAATCTGGTGCTGCCACAAAAGCTTCTATTGTTCTGAAATGTTGATACAATGCTCTTAATATGATTGGATGATTTAGAGTTGTTAATTTGAAAGAAAATGGGTCTAATTTTTAACCAGAGTGTCTGTGTGCGGTGAGTGTTTTCGTGCAGAAAGGCCAAGAGTGGAAAGTTGAAATTTTTTTTGATAGAATGAAATGCATCCATTAGAATACAAGCCAACAGTGTGAACAAGGCTTGGAAAGAGCAGGAAAAATGAATATCCAAGATAGGTCCGTGCAAAGATATAAAGATCTAAGACTGTCCTTGGTGGCAGGGAGGCTGGATTAAAATGATCTCTAAGATTCCTTCCAGCCTAGGCCATTCTATGATTCTATGACTGTCTCTGGTGACTGTGAACATTGGAGCTTATGAAGAGACTGAGGTTAAAGCTGCCTGGGAGAAGGCCATGCCTTCACCAGTGGGACTTCGTTCCTGAGCCGGGGCCATTTTAGTGACAGAGGGTCGGTAATAAAAGTAGTCTGCTTACAAAATATCTGACTGCTGATAAGAATGCACTGCAGAGAAAGCACTATTAAAATCTGAATTATCACCTAACCTGTAACGCTAAAAATAATATGATTGGGCTAGCTTAGTTTTTCTCTACAGTCCACAGCTTTCATTGATGAATGCACTGGTGACCTAATACTATGATAACATGCTCTAGAAGAAGGTGCTCCTATTGGTAACTGTTATTTCTTCCACTCCTATGCAACATGGTGTTTTAGTGCACAAAATATGTATAATTCTGCATCAGAAATGTTAGCTAGGTTGAGTAATGCTAAGTAGGTAGCAAGTAATTCCAAATTCCTTGCTTTGTTTATCTTTAATTCAAAAAAAGTTACACTGTTAGAGTACATAAAGTTAAGCTTGCCAAATGATTAGAAATCAATGTATATTTAACAATGGGATGATTCTGTATTCATTTATCTTAATTGCCAAACTGTTGCCTATTCTAGGTATTTCTTACCAAAAATATTTGGCAGAAGCTCATTCTGTCAGGTTTTTTTTTGTCAAAGAAATGTCAAAATCACTTGAAAACTGTAGGGAAAAAGTAAAAAGCCCCTGCCAATCAGCTTTTTATTCTGTGAATGCAACTGCGTCATCAGACTTCCCATGGGGATTCATTTGGAGAACAGTACATATGTTGTTTCCCTGTTGTAATCCACCTGTCACTTTAGTGACATTTTTATAGCTTTACAGAATATAGAACTTCATTATAAAAGAAAAATTTTCACATGAGCCTGGTTCAGAACTTGGCTTTTCCATTTACATATAAAAGTCCCTTTTCACTCACATTTTTTATATTGATAACATTCACATCATTTTAATGACTTAATATCTGAGTGTGCCTGAAGCTTGTTTCTTTCTAGCTCACATTTGAATCATGACATTTTTTTTTACTTTGCACTGGTGCCTGATTTGCCTGAAAGTTTTACGGGCTACTTTTTTTTCCAGGAAATCAAAGCAGTGTGCCAAGTATCAACAGTGCATACCTATGTTTTGAACATATACATAACATAACAGAAATATTTTTGAACCTTGGATGTGCAGCTAAGTCTCTTGCTCTGTAGGAGGTTATATTATTTTTTTATATGCATTATTGTTCTAAGTACTTTTCAGACAGGATCTTGCTGTTGGTATGCAATTACAAAATGACCACTTGCTCAAAGAAGTGTTCAGCAATGTGAGTAACGATAAGAAGTATGTAATCTGGGTTGTAGCCATGTGTGTGAAATAGACCTGATTTGGGTAAGGCTTCTGCGAATAAACAAATAATAATTTCCAGAAGGAAATGAATTTCTGGAAAGGAATGACTGAGAAACAATATGAATAACCATGTGTGTACAGTAAGTACTAAACTAACATCCAACTCTTGTGCATTTCTTTTCCCTGTTGCAGATGTTCAGATTAATTCATGTAAACCAGACCCAACTACAACCATACAACCTTCATCAAATGCAGCAACGGACTTAACTACAGGCTCTGATTTCACTGAAAACACAGCAGTGCCCAATGTGACTGAGACAGAACGATCCCTGAAAAATCTAAAATTTCGTGTAATATGTGTAACTGAAACTATACTACCAACAGAGGGGACAACTACAAAAATGCCAGAGGAATACTCAATAATTGACTTTCGTAACTACACTTCCCGTACTGCCTTTAAGAATGATGCTATTGTCTTTGGAGGTAAAGACTGCCTATGGTAGCTATTTAATCAGAAAAGCTAGTTACATAGATGTTAGTAGTAAAACTGATAACTATTATTTTTGTTTGCTACTCCAGAATCTGCTCTGATGTGGATCTGGTTTTGATATGTTCTGTTTGGAACAGGTTGCCCAGAGAGGCTATACAGACGCTCCATCCCTGGAGGTATTCAAGGTCAGGTTGGATGGGGCTCTGAGCAACATGATGTAGTGGAAGATGTCCCTGCTGACTGCAGGGGGTTGGACTAGAGGACCTTGAAAAGTCCCCTCCAACCCAAACCATTCTGTGATTCTATAGAGCTAAACCTGAAAACAGAATAACAGTGTTTGTTTTGCAAAAGCAAAGATTATAAGGCAGAGATATTTTAAATAATTAAGTAGAAGTAAGATCTTATTTTATACTTTTTGATAGTATTTTATATAAAATGGTGGAAATTCATTCCGGTTAATGTGATTTGGGGTAAATAAATTTCTGAGAAAGCCTTAGCAAACACCATGTGCTGAGAGTAATGGAAAACTCAGTATGCTCTTAAAACCAAAAAAAGCCAAGAAAGTTTTAAGGAGAATTGTTGCTCTCCAAATATGGAGGTGTTCTCTAGATACGTGGTGTGAATAAGTAATCCCAATCTAGAGCAACTGAGAAATGGACTAAATATGAGAAAAAACATCCTAACTGTAAGGCCAGTTAATGACAAAAATGTGTTCTCTGTGCAGGTTGTAAAAACTCTCCAATGAGCAGATTAGGGATCTAATTAGGGAACTCATCTGTCAGGGATTGCCTAAATATCTACTTTAGTCTCTTTTGAAAAAATTAGCAGGAATAACTAACCTTTTGAAATTCCCAATACCTCTGTTGTTGAGTTGACACTTATGTACCTCTTACAGTAGGCTGTTTTTACAAGAATCTGGATTACTGCCCAGGAGCCTTTAGAAAGTCAGAAGTATATGTAAAAACTCTATGCTTACCTCACTTTTATCTCTAGGTATCCCCACTGCACTTCTTGTATTGGCAATCACCTTCTTCATTATTTCAGTTATTCTAGCAGTCTGCTATGTCAAAAAGTAAGTGTTATTATTTTTTTCTCCTGTACTGGTAGAGTACAACCAGTAATATTTTAAATATGTAGCTAAAGAGCACAGAAGTAATGATAATGACATAAGCGTAGCACAAAGAACAAAATCTTAAACCCTGTCATTGTGCAGATAAAGTTTGCTGTTGCTGTTGCCAGTCTCTGCTTTAGAAAAGGAATTAAAGATAAATATTTTTGATTAGTCAGTCGTGCCTAGTGTGAAACATTTCCAACTACGCCAAAATAGCAACACTGAAGTGTGCACCTGGTTGTATATAACCCTGTTTATGCAGTTTTATTCTTGTTTTTTACTATGTCATACTCAAGGTAAAAGTTTTTATTCTTGGACTATAATTGTGTTCAGAAAAATAACTGTTGAGATCAGTTGTCATACATAAATATCTTCAACATAGTGCATCATTCAAATGTATTCAAAAGTTGTGTGCATTGCTCACTTCCTAGCCCAGATAGCTTTATCATTATGTACCACGAATCCTGAATATACATTGTCTATTTTTAAAAAAAATACAAAAATAGTTCTTTTAAAAGCACACTGCTTGAAAAAACACAATGATCTAGCATGCTACTATTCTCTGTGAGACTTTTGCTTGAGTATGACAAAAAAAGGTAAATTCTAGATATTTTTCACTTTATTTCTTGAGTGATACTACCAAATGATGTGTGTTTCTGCTTTACTAACCTTTTTTCTATTTAAAGGTACAAGAATACCTTCCTATTTTCAAACAAGAATCAGCAAAAAGAAATGGTTGAAACTACTGCTCTCAAAGAGGCTAAGTCAAATGACCAAACACCCGAAAAGGAAACAAAAAATAATGGGAAAAATGTAGAAGAGTCTAAAACCAAGCCTGAGGCCACTGTAAAATGTCTAGAAGCAGAAGTCTAAGGGGAAGAATGTACACTCCTTGATAGAAAAGTAAAATGAAGAATACAGAACTTAGCAATGCTTTTAAACATGGGTGATTGTAAATACTCATGAATGTTTTCTCTGTCTTAACGTAAGAAAACTTGTTTTAAAAATAATTACATCTTTAGCTATAAATGCTCTTGCAGAAGAACATGGTATCTTATTTACTTGAAATAAATGAAAAAATCCATACTACAGCTCATTTTTCATCTTTAATAAAGTCATTAGGAACACGCTATTAACTACATGCAGTGTGTTAATTATTTGCACAGACTTCAGGTCAATGTAGAACAAAAAAGGGTTTTTTAATCTGGCTGCAGGATATCTGCTAACTTCATGTCTAAAATAAAATGATACTGCACTGTCATTCAAATACCCAAGGAAGGGTACAAAAATGCTGATGTTCATATATATGCAGCACTGAATAACTTTCTTAAATGTCTTCATCATATCATAATTTACTGTTTTATTTATTAAAACCTGTCTCATTTTTCTGGATCAAATATTTGACAGGGAGGAAAAATGAACTGTATCTCAACAGTTATATTTAAGATCTTTTGTGTCTATTTAAGTGTGGTTTTCATAATAAAGATCTCAAATGGCATGGGACGTTTACAGTAGTTCATAAAAATTAAAGTGTGTCAGATACAGTTGGCTGGACAATTTATTCTCATGTAAACGCAGTTAAGGAATTCCTTCCCTTACAAAGCAGTGGAGTAAGGCCGTGTATCTCTCCTGGCAAGCTGAATGAAAGCACTCTGTGCTGTGTGAGCAGTGAGAGCGGACAGCAGAAAAGGCTATCGGGAAGAGCCACAGCCAACACTTGTCATGATGCTGTCAGAATAGCAACCAGGTTTAAGGACACAGACAACACTAGTGGATTCCAGGTAATTTTGGACCTTTTTGTGACACTGCAATTTCGTGTCCACCTCTCTTTTCCATGTTCTAGAGATCAGAAATTACCTATTTCCCTATTCATTTCAACATCACTAAGAAATAATTATCTATCAATTCTCTCCCTCTCCTACTAATATCACCTCTATTCCACAGGTATCAACTTCCTTTTCTCTCAGATTGTCTCACTCACACCTAAAGAAATTTGGAAACCCTCTGAAAGTTTGTTGCTTCTGGTTTAGATCTAAATGAGGGCTTTTTCCCGCTGAAGTGTTTACTTTCTAAAAAACTATACTAGCTGATATATTAAGATATTACCTTAACATATAAATGCCTTGTTTTATCCCGCACCTTAAAAACTCAGCTCTTCTGACATTCACACTAACACCTGGCCAATGCATGTAGTTTGATCTGTCCCTCCTTTCCATTACCCATTTTATGCCAACACTACGAAAACTGAAAGGAACCTGTTACACTGTTCTGTATGTAACAAAATCTAGCTATAAGTACTACTCAACAGGTACTGTATATGATATTGTCTGTATAGGATGAGAACTACTCAGTCACATTTGAATTGGATAGCACAAAATGTTCTTGCTCATTGTTTGGTAGAATTGCAAGGGATGTACCACTACAGAGTAAACAGGAAACACTTATTTAAGTTCTAGGCAGAAAGTGACAAAACCTCAAGCCCTTAACTGGTGGTAGCAGAAACTTCAGAGAACTGCATTGTGTTTCTCACTTCTCTCAAGTGTTGTGCATTGGGTTTTTTGCTTTATGCTCAAGTATCTTGGACAAATAATTCATTTTACCTAGCAGCAGACCGGGGTTTGTATTAGTCATTTGACAGTAACGCTACTCAGATTCCCACACTGAGGCTACAGATGTTTGCTGACCTTAGGCGAAAAGGGTGGTTGGCCTGCAGGAAATACATCAAGGTTCCCAGTCCAGCCCCATCCCTGGCTGGAATTACAGAGGTGCCTTTATCGTGGGAAGTACGTGTGTCTATGTGTGAACAGAAGCAACAGGAAGGGGAAGTACTACTCCTTTTCTCCTCTTTAAATTAAAAAACAAAACAAAAGAAAAACCAAACAAAAAAAAGCTCTAGAATTAAACCTTGAAGCACCAGGATGCAGATAAACTAGAGGATGTTCAAGGATTTCTGTTCCTAAATGGCCTGTTACCAATTGTAAGTGCCGAGTGTTTTTTGTAGCAAGGTCAGTGATCGTCGACCTTGGCCACATGCACATCCTCCAGGCACCCCGGGGCGCTCCCCGATCCGGCTGCCATGGCAGGGTGGGGGGTGTTCTGCACCAGCAGTTTCTGGCCTGTGATGATCCCAAGGCAGGCACTGGGACTCCATTAAGTAGCATCTATATCGCTATTTATTACAGGTAACAGAGGACAGCAAAGGTAGGCTTGCATCCTTTCAGACGCCTGGACCCCTGAGCTTTGCAGCACTGAAGGGGCCTCTGCGGAAAAGCTACCCCGTGTTGGTCCCTCGAGCTATCACAGCATTCTTCTTAAAGGAAGCCAACTCCGTTCACCATTTCTACTGCAGAG